AAGACATATACACTGAAAACGATGACATTGTTGAAAGAAATTGAAGATACAAAGAACTGGAAAGATAATGCATTCTCATGGATTGGAAGAATGAACATAGTTAAAATGTCCATATTAACTAAAACAATCTACAGATTCAATGCAATACCAATCAGAATTCCCATGATAGTCCCCATGGAAATATAACAAAGATTTCTAAAATTTATGTGGAACAAGAAATACCTCAAATGGCTGAAGCAATCCTGAGAACAAAGAACAAAACTGGAGGCATCACATTCCTGGAATTCAAAATACACTGCAAAGCTATAATAACTAAAACACTATGGTACTGGCACAAAAACAGAGACACCGATGAATGGAACAGAACTGAAAACCCAGGAATAATACCACACACCTATGGACAGCTAATCTTTGAAAAAGTAGCCAAGAACATACAATGGAAAAAGGAAAGGTTCTTCAATAAATGGTGTTGGGAAAACTGGATAGCTATATGCAAAGGAATGAAAGTAGACCATTATCTTACACAAAACACAATAATTAACTCAAAATGATTAGTCTTGAATATTAGACCTGCAACCATGAATCTCCTGGAAGAAAATATTTGCCATACACTCTGACATTTGTCTTAGCAGCATCTTTTCAAATACCATGCCTACTCAGGCATGGAAATAAAAAATTAAGTAAACAAGTGGGATTACACCAGACTAAAAATCTTCTGCAAGGCAAAGGAAACCATGAACAAAACAAAAAGATAACCTAATAACTTGGAGAAGATATTTGCAGATCAAGTATCCAAAATGGAGTTAATTTCCAAAGCATATAAAGAACTCATACAACTCAACAAGAAAAAACAAACAACCTCATCAAAGAATGGACAGACAATATGAACAGAAAATTTTCCAAAGAAGGTATACTGATGGCCAACAGGTACATGAAAAGATGTTCAGCACTGCTAATTATTAGGTAAATGCTATCAAAACTTCAATGAGATAACACCTTACACCCACCAGAATGGCTATAATTTAACAAGACAAAAAATAACAAATGTTGGTAAGGATTTGGAGCAAAGGGAACCTTCATACACTGCAGGTGGGAATGCAAACTGGTGCGATCATTATGGAAAACAGTATAGAGATGTGTCAAAATATTAAAAATAGAAATACCATATGATGCAGATCTCCCACCCTTGGGTATTTATCCAAAGAATGTGAAATCAATCATACAAAGAGATTTATGTATCCCTATGCAAACATGAATCACAGCATTATTCATCATAGCCAAGATGTGGAAGCAATCCAAGTGCACATCAACTGATAAATGGATAAAGAAGAAGTGGTATATATATATATACAATGGAATACTACTCAGCCATAAAAAAGAGATTGTCATTCCATTTGCAACAATATGGATGGTTTTGAGGGTTTTATGTAAACTGAAACAGTCCAGATAGAGAAAGAAAACACCATATGATTTCACTCATTTGTCGAAGATAAACAAACACAGAGATAAGCAGAAGAAATTAGTGGTTACCAGGGGGAAGGAGTTTGGGGGTGGGCAAAAGGAATAAAGGATCACAAATGTCTGGTGATAGATAAAAATGAGAGTATTGGTGGTGAGCGTGATTCAGTCTATATAGAAATTTATATGTAATAATGTACACCTGAAATTACACAATGTTATAAACCAAGATGACCTCAATAAAATATTTCTAAAAAGGATTCCTAAAATAAAAACATGAAAAAATCCTTGAGATGGATGGTTATGATGGTTTCACAATAATTTTAATGTACTTAACACCACTGAACTGTATGCTTAAAATTGGTTGAGTCGATACAATTTATGTTATGTGTTTTTACGACAGTTACAAATATTGAGTATGCAGGGACATAGTAACTGAGTTGTGGTTTCCAGGCATTTTCTTGTATTTACAAATATAGAATCATTGTTCTTTGCTACTCATCACCTAAAATAGGTCCAAAGAACAAAATAAACTTACTTTAGCAGGAAGAGAAATAATTATATAAATGTAAATGAATAAACTCTCCAATTGAAAGGCAGAGATTGGTGGAATAGATTAAGAAAACATGATCCATCTATATGCTGTCTATAAGAGACTTGTTTTAGATCAAAAGACACAAATAGCTTGAAAATTAATGGACAATTTAAAAAAATTCATGCAGATAGAAACCAAAAGGAAACCTGAGTGGCTATAGTAATGTTGGAAAAATGTATTTTAAAACTAAAAAAAGTTATAAGAAAATAAAAAGACCTTATATCTTGGTAATATGTCAAGACAATATAACAATTCTGTACATATTTATACAAAACAACAAATCCTCAAAATATATGACATAAACTGGCAAAATTGAGAGGAGAAATTGTTAAGTTCTATATCATAATTGAGGATGTCAATACCTCACTCTCAATAATAGATACAACATCTCAACAGAAAATCAACAAGGATTAGAGAGCTTGTAAATCCAATAAGCCCAATAGACTTAACAGGTATGTATATATAGAACAGTCTACCAACAATAGAATTCACTTTCTTCTCATGGGCTCATGAAATATTCTCCAGGGTAGACAACATGGTAGACCACAAGACAAGAGTCAATAAATTTTAAAAAGATTAATATTGAAAAATATAGCTTCCCCAACCACAATAGAATAAAGCTGGATATTAATAACAGAAGGAAACTGGAAAATTCACAAATCCGTGGAATTTTAACAACGCAATCTAAAACAACAAAAGAGTTTAATAAAAAATTGCAAGGAAAATTAAAAAATAGCAGAAATGAAAGAAATTGAAAATAGAGCATTGAAAAATGTGTGAGATGCAGTGAATGAGGTCCTCAGTGTAAATGTATATCACTAAAAGCCTCTAATACAAATAATACAATTCTCAAGTCAATAATCTAATTTTATATATTCAGAAAAAAGAAAGAAGAGGGAATAAAACATGAACCTAGCAGAAGGAAGAAAATATTTGAGGCCAGGATTGCCGCACAGTTGTTAAGTTTGCATATTCTGCTTCTGTGGCCTGGGGTTTGCCTGTTTGGCTCCCGGGTGCAGACCACAAACCCGTTTGTCAAGCCATGCTGTGACACATCTCCCACATATAAATTGAGGAAGATGGGCACAGATGTTAGCTCAGGGCCAGTCTTCCTCAGCAAAAAAAGGATGATTGGTGACAGATGTTAGTTCTGGGTGGACAAGGTGAAGAAAACTCAGTACTAAAAAGAAAGACAAAGAATTCAGACAATGCAATAAATAGTAGTCACTAAATGGCAGAGACAAACTATATCATGGAAGATTTTCATAAATCATGGATGCTAGAGTGAAAGGTATAATTATCATATATAATGGGCAAATAATGGAAAGAGAAAATACTTTAAGAATATAGAATATATTAAAGAAAGACCTCAAACAAAATAAAAGTAAACTGTTTATTACAGCTTTAGCATATGAAGAAAATTATATACACTCTCAAACTAGTCATATTTCTCATTTATTCTGGTCATCAAATCTGACTTTTTTTGTTGGTAAACATGAATTTGAATGTTGATCAAATTAATCAGATATTCTAGGAAAAGTAAACTATCCCAAATGGTGATCAAGTGTTTTTCACAAAAATAAAATTGATTTAGTTTTGAGAAAACCTTACTCTTTTACCCTTGTTCATCATTTATACTGTTCTGTTAATTTAACCTGTCTTAAAATCAGTGATTTTTATTTTGGCATCATTCTCTGGCTCTCTATTGCTCATATTTTTTACATAGACTTGATCTGGAAGTAGAGCTCAGATGGATGTGTCTGGATTATTATTTTATTGTGGCACAAGTTTGATTTTGTAATCTGGCTCATTAGTTGATGTATAGCATTGTTCATTAACAGCTTTCTGTTCATTTTCAATGCATGTGTCATATTCTCTAACAAATAAGTAGAATTCTACTGTCTTTTTTCCTGAATAAATAAATCTAAATAAATTTTTGCATGTTACTTTTCAACAGATGAGACTTGAAGGAAAATGTTAATTCAGTGTTCAAATTAATTTGCTTGTTTGTATGTGAATAATATATTATGCAGACAAGAACTTATTTTTAATTTCAAATGCAGTACCCTCAACATTAGGCCTGAGCAGATAAAGATTCTGTGATGAGACTCCAATTCAGAGGTCTGAACCTCTGGACAAGAGTCTTCACCTCAAATACTACATTATTATCTTCTATTATTTCAAATTTTATGGCTTTGATACTAATGTGATCCGTTGCCCTCTTCTTAAAAAATCAACAGATAGGTGCCATCTCAGGGCCTTAATTTCTGAGTTCCATCTACCAACTATCCAGTCTTTGATTGCATTTGTACCTAAACTTGTAATCACTCCCAATCATTGTAATTCAATACAAAGAAATACAAGTCAAGAAAACTGAATGTAGCAAAATAGAAAGTGAAAAATACATACAATCTTGATTATGTGCAGATTTCTGAGCTGGCTGTTTTCACTGTATACAAAGATTTTATATACATATTTAGTGTTCACAACAGCAGATTGGTAGGAGTGTTAAGATAGGCAAATGAGAGTTTGAAGGACATTCCATGTCATACACAAGCTTCTTTAGATCAGCTGAAAAATAAAACAACATTCGTCCATGTGCTTTCTTTGTATCATTATGTATTTGTTGAACTGAAATAGTTCACAGGGGATAATAAAGAAAACTTTGAATGCTGGGCTGGATAAATAAGTAACCAAGAGTTCTCATATAATGGAGTCTTAACTTTCACAGTAATATAGGGGCTATACTTTTCTGAAAAGAGAAATATTTGTGAGAATATATTTAGTGTTTCCAGTTGTTAAAATAATTATACATGTCTGTCTAGGGGATAGGATAGTTATGATTTACAAAATTTTCATCCACACTGAGACCATCGTTGAGATGATGGCTCATTATCATCATAGTATCATATTTACCTTTCCTAATTGTCACCCTTCTGTTCTTCAGCTGAAGAAACCTACACTTCGGAGATGGCCAACCTCACTGGTATGTCAGACTTTATCCTAATGGAATTTTTGGAGATTCATAAGCTTCAAATCTTTCATGCTGAGCAATTCTTAATTATCTACATGACAGCTCTGATGGGAAATATCCTCGTAATCTCCCTCACCTTTCTTGACCAATGTCTTTCTACTCCTATCTACTTTTTGCAGAAGCCTCTCTTTTAGATTGTTTTTTCATCTTGGTCACCATATCATAATTTGCTATTAATTCAATAACACATGCCAGGGCATTCACTTTTCTAGGCTGTGCTACACAATTTTTCTTTGTCCTTTTCCTGGCATTTTCAGAGCTGGTCTTAACTCACAGTGATGTCTATCATGACTTTGTGGCTATTTGTCATCCTTTACACTACAAAGTGACCAAGAATAGAAAGTTCTCTATGAATTTAGCAGTAGCTTTCTGGCTTACTGGGGGTATAATTGGTGGCACGCACATTTCCAGTACTTTCTCATTAGCCTTCTGCAACTTCCTCATAGAGCAAATTTTCTATGATGTTCTTTCCTTAATGAAGATCTAATGGATTGGTGCACATTGAAAAATCTATCATAATTGCCCTAGTATTTTTATTGAGCTTGGCATGCTTTGTTTACATCATAGTGTTCTATTCTTATATATATTGTACTGTGCTAAGAAACTCATCAGGACAGGGTAGATCAAAAGCCTTCTTCACCTTCCTGCCTCATCTCTCTGTCATGACCTTATTTGTCTCAACTGGCAGTACACCCTATTTGATGCCAAAGTCAGATGTCCTATCACTTTTGGATCTTTTTTTTAATTTAATTCATTTTTAAAATTATTTTATTGAGGTGATTTGGCTTACAACACTGTGTAAATTTCAGGTATACATTACTATATATGTTTCTGTATAGACTGTTTTGAATTCACCACCAACAGTCTAGTTTTTATCTGTTATGATACATGCAAGCCCTTTCATGCCCCTTTCACTCTCCCTCCTACCCTCTTCCCTCTGGTAACCACTAATCTGTTCTCCTCATCCACATGTTTGTTCATCTTCCACATATGAATGAAATCATGTGGTGTTTGTTATCTGTCCCCTACACAGTGCTGATTCCACCTCTGAATCCTCAACTGGCAGTACTATGAATCCTATGTTCTACAGCTTGGGAAATACAGGCATCAAAGATGATCTAAGAAAGGTAATTTTGGGCAAAATTTCCTTACGTTGTACTCTTTTGTCTGAGCTGTCTCGTGTATAATATTTACTACACATATTTGGTGGGATTTCAAATTGAGATGATGTAACATTTGGATTCATGTAATTGGGTCACAAGTGTGGAATTGTGACTGTGGATGACTCCACATTGGAGTGGATCTATTGTTTGAATCATTGATCATGAATTTTGTCATTTGGTCTCAACATGTTCATTGTACTTTGGAATACATTTTTGAGAAAGCTAATCATTTTTCCTTTTCTTTTTTTTAACTTTATTTAAAGCATGTAGTTCAAGTTAAATATTTTCTTTCCCCAGAAAGATAATTTTGAAAAGAATGGCAATTAATCTGATAAACTGGGGATAATTTATCTCATTCCTATCATTTGAAGGCATCTTTCTGCAACAAACCAAATATCTGAAATTATCCTGTTATTTTCCTTTCTGAATCTGGTAATTTCACTCTATCTTTGAATCTCTGAGCTGCTTTACAACAAGCATTGCCTTTCTCATTAGGATAACCATGCTTGAACTGATATAGGATTTAGCAAAAGAGATAGAGATGAGTGTCAGTCAATATATATTCATAAAAATATTATTTCCAACTGATAATCTGGCAAATAAAGAAGTGTAAAGCCACAAAACTTCAGGTTAGGTTCTCAGAAGAGACATAGATGATTTCACTACTTAAATTTTCTATGGAGAGAATCTGATGTCATGTGGTCACTGAAGAGACTCTTCAGCGGGGCCTGGTAAACTCATGACGTAGAGCAATGTAAAGGCTGTGAGTTATTCCAAGAACTAGGATGGATTCTTCTGATGGTACTGAGTGATATAGAGCAACACTGGTCAATACACATTCTTCAGTGGTGAAAATGTGGCTAGAGTGATGGAAGAAATAAAATTTTAATTCAATTGTTTTTAATTAATTTAAATCTAAATAGTCACATGTGACAGGGGACTGCCATAGGGGACATTCACAGATTTCGAGTGAAAATGATAACATTCTGACATCAAATAATTAAATACATGTCATATATTTTTTATTCTATTTTGTGAAAAACATTCTTGTTTCAGCCTTTAGTCTACAAGAAACAGTATGTATATAAGATGATGAGGTTCACGTTGTCTTAGAGATAAAAATGTATCCTACCAGGGACCTGCCGTCTCACTGACACTTTTAGGAACAGAAGTGAAGAGATTTATTCAAGGTGCTGGTTTCCATTAAGAAAGAAGCAAAAGGACTCTTGAATATTTTAGGAATTTATTATCTGTTGTTTTATGCTACTCTGAACCATTAGCAATCAAAAAACAAACACATAATTGAAGCAAAATATTGACCAATTTCAAGGAAAACCCAAGGAGAAAAGGATTTTCTAACCATGATTTTGCCTATTCATCAGAGCCTATTGAAATGCTAATGACCTTACAATAAAGCGTTGCATAAAATGATTAAACATTTAAAATATTTTAGAAATTGCTCCTGATATAGCTAGTTTCTTAAAATTTGTTTCTGTTGTGCACAAATGAGTTTGTACTATGAGAAAAATGATGAACAGGGCAGTTTCCTGCATTCTGGAGAGTTTCTTGATTATGGCAAAGTCTTCGACCTCTCCCTGTTGTGCTTTAGCCAGTGTTAACAGAATAGTGTCTTGTGCATTCAAGGGGCCTCACTTGCCCTGTAGGAAACAAGGTATGATGTAAATCCCAGCAAGGATGTGGTAAAGGTCAACAGCATGCAACTTTGTTCTGATAATAATGAAGTGATCAAATAAACCCTTGCTTTACAAAAAATATGTAAATCTTATAGGAGAAAAATACATCTTTCTTTTTTTTTAATTTTGATTTTTTTCGGATGTACATCATATTTCAAATTCTGGATACATTACATCATGTTCACCACCCGAAGACTAATTATAGTGCATCCCTTCACATGTGACCCTAATCACACCTTTTGCCCTCCCCCAACCCTCCTTCCCCAATGGTAACCACCAGTCCAATCTCCAATGCTATATGTTTGGTTTTTTTTTTGTCATTTTTATCTTCTACTTATGAGTGAGTTCATATGGTATTTGACTTTCTCCCTCTGACTCATTTCACTCAGCATAATACCGTCTCACTGACACTTTTAGGAACAGAAGTGAAGAGATTTATTCAAGGTGCTGGTTTCCATTAAGAAAGAAGCAAAAGGACTCTTGAATATTTTAGGAATTTATTATCTGTTGTTTTATGCTACTCTGAACCATTAGCAATCAAAAAACAAACACATAATTGAAGCAAAATACCCTCAAGGTCCATCCATGTTGTCACAAATGGCTGGATTTCATCATTTCTTATGGCTGAGTAGTAGTCCATCCTGTATAAATACCACATCTGCTTTATCCATTCATCCCTTGATGGGCACCTAGGTTGCTTCCAAGTCTTGGCTAATGCCACAGTGAACATAGGGGTGCAAGTATCTTTATGCCTTTGTGTTTTCAAGTTCTTTGCATAAATACCCAGCAGTGGAATAGCTGGATCATATGGTAGATCTATCCTTAATTTTCTGCGGATACTTCATACTGCTTTCCATAGTGGCTGCACCAGAAAAATAAATAACAACTAAGCAACACAAAAGAAAATATGACAGGAGAGGGAAGACATGCCTTCTTATTTTGGTTGACTAAATATAATAGTGATTTCAATTCTTCCCAAATAAATCAATTCAATAACAATCAATATTAAACAATATTTTTGGGAGGGAAACAGAAAAAATATTCTGAATCTCCTATGGCAGTTGGGAGGCGTGACACCATGAAATGGCCAGGGCATTTTAGGGAAAGAACAAAGTATAATAATGTCAACTTGGCTTACAAGATGTCATATTATATTGTTAAAGTAATATATTAGATGAAATCACATACAACTGATAATATTTTACTATTTTGTCCAACGAAAAAAGACCATTTCATGTGTTTAAATATAATACATGTTTAAGCAGTGTGTATATCCTGGAAGAAAGCCTAAATCAGGCTGAACAGAGTCATGGTAGAAATCTGGACTTGAAGATGCTGCTGGTAAGAGTCTAGAAAGAAGTGCGAAACATGATATTGGAATCTGTAGTTAGAGGAATCCTTGATATACAGTCACAGAACTCTTAGTAAAATTATGTCTTGCAGTTATATAGAAAACAGAACTCAGAAACAGTGAACTTGGACATTTGGCTGTGGAGATTTCCAAGCAAAGTGTTGAAATTGTAACTCAGTTTCTCCTTTCTGTTTGTAGCAAAATGTGAGAGGAAAAAGATAAATCAAGGGATGAGATGTTAAAGCAAAAATAACCAGAACTTAATATGGGAAACTATCAGCCTATGCACAGAGCAAAAGATGCTAAAATTCAGAAACGTCTGCTGAAAAGATGACATTGGGAAACAGTTGAGTGTGTGGTTGCACTACCTTTTGCAGACACGTTGTCAAGATCAAAACTTCAGTGTATTCAGTCACAAGAGAGTGAGGATATTCATTACAGATCTTTTCAATCAGACTAGAGGCCCTCGAGGAAGCTTAGAAGCTGGATCCCAGACATCTCAACAGAAGCCAAAAATAGAGAAGAGGTCATCTCAAAAATCCTGTGAATTTGACTCTTGTTTAATGGAGTTATTTTCCCATACAATTTATGCAAGATCCCCCAGCATTCTGTGATTTTTAGATGAAGAGAACACTGTCAGCTGGGACTGAAATACACAGAGTACAAAATGAAGGAAAGCTGTTGGACATAAAAAATTTTACTATCATGAAGCTGACTGATAAAGCTACTCACCTACTAATGGGTGCTAACTTTCAAAAAAATAAGAAGGTAGCTTAGAATCTGGAACTAAGAGATTAGAGAGCATAAGGAAGAGCACAGATAGTAAAACCAAAAGCCCAGAAGACAGACCTGAGAGTCCAGAGCAGAGAGCTAAACATGGAGGATTGTCCCCAGTCCTTGAAACCTAATTAAGCAATTTTCAATTTTTTAAGAGAAAGTTACATATGCAATAAACATAAGGAAAATTTTTTTCTAATTTATCATTAATCAATTCCTTGCAGAAAAACAGTTAGGTAGGTCATTTTCACTCACATTAATAAATTTTAAAGATTAATAATAATCACTTAATAAGTGTTATAACAAATGTTTCCTTTTCACTCTGTGTGTCTTTTGTTTCCTATTTTCATGTTTTATCATGCTGGGTAGAACTTCCAGTATTGTGTTGAATAGGGTAGTAAGAGCAGAATCTTGATTTTCATGGAGTGTAATGATTAATTATGTGAGTTAACTTGGATTGGTCACAGTGCCCACATATTTGGTCATACATCATTCTCAATGTTTCTATCTGTTTTCTTCTAAAAGTTTTATATTCACACTTTATATTTCAGCCAATGATCTATTTTGAATTATTTTTACATATAGTGTGAATTTTAGGTTGATTTTTTAATTTGTCTTTTCATGTCTAATTACTACATCACCTTTTGTTATAAGAGCTTTACCTTTTCCACTGATAGATTGACTCCTTTGTTAAAAATGAGTCTATTTCTGTTTCTTTATTCTGCCCCATTGATTTATGTTTCTATCTGTGGTGGTTAAAATGATAGTTCTGCAAGTATATCCATATCAAATTCTCTAAAACCTTAAATATGTTAGTTACAGGGAAAGGGTAATTAAGGTTACAGATAGGTTTATGGTTGCTAACCAGTAGATTTTAAAATAAAGAGATTATTCTGAATTATCTGGCTGGGCCCAAAGTAATCACAAGAGTTCTTGGATAGGAAAGATGGGGGCAGAAGTGTCAGAACCAGAGAGATGGTAATGTGCAAAAAAATTGACCATTCATTTCAGGCTTTGAGTTGAAAGGGGAATATGAAGCAAGAAATGTGAACATTTCTTAAATATTTGAAAAAGACAAGAAAATGGATTATCCTCTAGAGTTTCCAGAAAGGAATGCAGCAGCCTGATGCCTGGACTTTAGC